TGTGGTGTTGTGTGTGTGGTGTGTGTGAGTGAGTGTGAGTGTGAAGAGAAACTGGAGCACGGGTAGAAGAAAGAGTACAGGTGTAGGACATACGGAGGCGAGCGGTACATTGGATCTTGCATAGTGACACCGTGGTTGTGTCTAGTTGTCCGCTGTCTGAGACGCCTGGTGTTGATGACTCGTCTGTCCTGTACAGGAGATTTAAACCTGCCCTGCTCTGGAACAGACACCATGGTGACGTTGGTGTGTGCGTGCGTGCGTTGCCGTGCGTGCGTGCTCACCCAGGTGCTGTCATCCTGCCCCCACTGTGCCTGCATCCGGCCCAGACGCAGGGGTTGAAATAGCGTATCCGGTCGGAGCCCGCAGACCGCAGCGTACTCATGGATCCTGCAGCACCAGTATCACGTTGCGAGACTGCACACACGGACAGACACACACACACACCTCTTTCTGGAAGTTTGTATTTTGATCATGTGTTTAGAATGATGATTTCATATAACAGCTGCTTGTATCCATTGCCAATAGTCAAAAAGACATTTTACAACAACAAATGAAACCTTGCCAACCAGGGGAAAAAATGTATTATTTTTTATTATAATTATTTTATGCTACCTCTTAAAATCATTGGACCATCATTTTTCAAGACCATAAAGTGATACTCATTTCCATATTGGCTGGAACAGGGAAAGCACTTTTGGGCCTGTCCTGACATAACAGTGTCACATTCCAGACGCTGTGTGTGAGGGAGCGGGAGTGTAAGAGAGAGAGTGAGTGTGTGTGCGGGTGTGGGTGTGGGTGTGTGGGGGTGCGTGCAGGAATCAGCCTTGCTGGAGTCGCAGGCTCACTGCACTGACTGCACATGCCCTTTTTTTTCCCCAGACTAAACTCCAGCCTTCACTGAAGCCTCCAGATGTTGTGTCACTGTGAGCACGCTGCACTGCATAAAAACCCAAACAGAGAGCCAAAGAGAGCGAGTGGCTTAATGAAGTTTAGCACTGCAGACACTAAACAGGGAGAATGATGGGAAACTAATTCTGAGGTCTTATTTTGTAACAGAGGAAGTAAAGATTTAATTTTATTTTTAGGTTTAAGTCAAATCTAACTACACAGCAGGTTTTAATTAAGCCCACAGGTCCAACTCATAATCATGGCACACTTTTGCAACTATTAGACTATTACATAACTTGATGGCTGGGAACCTCTGGTGTTTGTCATGTCCTTTTTTGTGAAATAGTCTCCAGCTACGTCTAGACTACGGTGTGAGTACAGACGAGTGACACAAAGGGTGGGCTTGGGCTAAACATTCCTCATGTGGGTGCTACCAGTGACTAGTGACCAGTGCTGTTCATAATGAGCAGCCCCACTGGCTCACACGTCTTGTTGACCCCTCTATAAACACCAGCTTAAACAAAGACTACAGTTACTAATGGGTCAGCTATGGGGCTTTAAAGGGCACACTGACTATTTGGCAAATAATCACTTTGATTAATGCACTTATGTGAAAAGTAAATTTCACAGAGGTTTAACAGTTTCACCTTTGTGTGTTCAGTGTTCAGTGAACTTTGGAGATGCAATTGGCTGGCCTATTCCCACACTCTAGGTCCATGGACAAAGTATGTCTTTATATGTCTAATACTTGTGACTATATGCTTGCAGAATTAACTAGAATGTTTGATTGAATGTGCTGATGTTTGTGTATAACACTTGGCATGACACAGACCGGATATTAACACAATAGTTGTGTATAGCGATTGCAGCGCATCATCCAAGGTGACTCCATGCATGGTGCCTCTATGCATCTGTCTGAGTGCGTTCAGAACCGTGTGTGCTGAACAGACGTCCGCTCTGCATTTCTGTCCGCAGGGCCTGACACATGGGATTGTTAACTCTGCAGCCTGGCTGCTGATGTGGTGTCGACCGGTGGCTTCAGAAATAGAGGTGGCAGAGTGATTCACCGGAGCCACGAGAGCAGATGCCAGTGTTGCTAATTAGTCATTCGCACTCCAACACAACGCCACAACACATGAGGATGATGGGAGAAGTGACAGCATCCCAGGCCCCGCCCTTCTCCAGTATGTGTGAATTTCAGATACCACTTCAGATGCAGACTAAGGTCTCTTTTCAAATGAGCAGTTTATAAACCAATGTATACCTGGCTCCCACACATACAACGATTCATATTGTATATAGTCATAAGGAGCTTACAAATCAAAACGCAAATGCAAAAAGCTGACACTTGCTAACACAGGAATTCCTTACCCAGTGGTGTAGGGTATGTTGATGCCTCCTAAATTGATGCTCTCGCAGCCCACTATGAAGAGTGTGGAGAAGCAGAGCAGAGACACCCCGCTGCAGATCATGGCCAGCTTGGCTGACTCTCTGGCACCGAGCTTCAGCTTCTTGATGATGTAGCCCCCCAACACGATTCCCACCCCGGCACTGGGTACAATGATCACACCTGTGAGAGAGATCAGAGAAAAGAAAGAGCGGCTGAGATGGAGGAAAAACTTCAGAAGTGTTGAAAACGGCACAAAAATAGAGCAGCTTATTTGTGTAAAAAAATGGTAACACTGAATTAATTACTGTAAAGCATGACTGACTAAGTGCAATAGGCATCTGATCTCCAGTACTTAAATCAGGCACACTACCATGAATAACATGTCAAAAGGTGAGGCTTTTTATGAAAGACTGTATGATGTCTTGTTGGACACAATGACTTGAAAGAGAAACGTCAATCTCTTTGCTGTATCGGTGTGATCAGGCTACACTAAAGGCTACCAGTGAGTCATTTCAGGCTGTGGCACGTGCTCGCAGTCTAGTTTCCCACTAGAGCTAGTCTAATTGACAGCATGAAGAAAGGCAAAGCTGGCTGCTGGCAGGATGGACCGGGTGGAAAGTGTCATCGGCCGGGAGTTGAGGCCTGGGGAAGCTGCACATTGCAGCCCTCGCAGCCGGGTAACGAGCGAGATGGGGTCAGTCAGCGGGGGCGGAGGGTCGTCAAAGATAGAGGATCAACAGAGAAGTGATTTAAGTACGAAGAAATGTCATCAGGCTTCTCCCTCTGTGTGTGTGTGTG